ATACATACATAGGTGAATCAGTGGAATATGTCCAGCTTAAATATATGCTTGAAAACGTTAAACTTTCCTATCTGTTAATTGTCAAGTTTTAGAAACGTTGAAACTTCTTATGCAACTATTATAGAGGGTTCATATACAATATATGTTACATATTACTTTATTGTCTACGTACATATGTCGAGTAAAAGTTAAATTCATAGAGTTGCCTTTGCTTATACATATTTATATATCAACAATGAAGAATTCCTAATCTAATCGAACAGTAGTAAATGCATTGGTGAATAAAAATTTGACGCTGTCTCGCAGATGGTCTGTGGTACTTAACGAATATATCAAAAATTGTTATATCATAATATCAAAAATTGTTATTGAATATGTCATAATATCAAAAATTGTTAAGCGATAAGTTAGCGGATTGAAAAGATTTCGGAAAGTTTTCTAAAGTACTGAATCCAGCAAATCAAGTATTAAACAAGAAGCTCATATTGTGAACAAGCAGAGAATGAAGATACATTTAAACTGGACATACCGAACATATTTATATGTATATATACAAATCATTAAAGCTCTTGGAATTTATTGCTTTGTCTGTTCCTAAATCCTTATACACGATGCGTTAACTCTATTGGTTCTTTTCTATGGAAACGTCTTAAAATATACTTAATTGACGAACTTGCTAAAATACGCCGCCTAAAAGTGGCATATTCTCTAAATTCGCGGTACTCTCACACCACAAATGTCATTTGGAACATCGGCAATTTACAATTGAGCAATTTCTTGGTCCATTGAACAACCATTGTGAGGATTAACAAATGGTCATTGGCAACCAGTCATTGGTGGTCACTATACGAATTCTAGGCGCACTGAATCCGCGTTTTCGACGTACTTGTGCTTTTCCTTCTCGAAAAAGTCCACCACGTGCTCGATAAATTTCCCATGATATTCGTCAATCTGCTCTACGGTTGGTTCTTCTATCTTGGGTAATTCCATCGGGCTACCGACTGGGGAAAATAGAAAATCGCAAACATTATTATAAGGTTGCAATTTTAAAGGCAAAGATAGAAAAATCTGTTCAAATCTGTTCAAAGTAGAAATGTTTCTCTGCTATAAAAATGTCTGTGTATTTTTCATTAAGAATTTCAATTATCACAAGTGTCCTGTACTAGTTGTGGGTCAATTGTTGATGTTGAAATACTTGCCAACGACAGTGATTGGTGTTCGCCGTGGAATGATACCGAAAGAGTACTGAAAGAATCCCCGGCCTACCGGTATAACCGGCGCCATACCGATCTTCTTTCGAATATAGATCTGCAGTTTATTCATAAACGAGCCCTCTGGAAACGACACTTGGTCAAACAGGTTCGTTTCCCCGAACGAACAGACAGGAACCAAGGGAGTGCTAAAGCAAACGTGTTCCGTTATTACAATGAAACATTGGGACATTGCAACGTTAACATTAACCCTCGATTATTTGATAAGTATAGTATAGGTTGCGGATTTCCATGTGTCTCTACGTTAAAATATTCAAATATAAATATTCTAAAATATTCTAATTATATTGAATTTCAATGAATACTCCGCATTGGATGTTCTGCGTATGTTTCCCATAAATGCATAGAAATCCGCAGTGTAGTGAAAAATGATCAGAAGAATGATCGAAATCACGATGATAATATTAAATCAGATTGTTTTATCTAATCCTGTGTACTTTGATACAGTTTTGTCGCTGATATTTATCAAGCGAAATATATAATAGAATGTTAAGTATCCCAATCAAACGACGAATTGATTCGGTTGATGATGATCTTGATTAACGCGATTGTTTTTTTTTTTTTCTGTTATTTATCATTGTTTTCTTTCAAATTAAATCGGTAAGGTAAAAGTGAAAGATTAATTGTTCCAAAGTGTCGTTATTATTTCTCACGAGCTTGTGGTCCGAATCAACAGAAACAATAGTAATTCTAACCCATTTTTCAGCGCGAGCTTTACGAAGCCTTTCCTCCTTTTTATCAGGATACGATAAGTGCCCGGCTTACATTCCATTGCTTCTGCTGCTCCACCGACGATCAGAACTGTCGCTCTTCCGGTGTACGGTGCCGCAGGTTCCATCGACAGTTGTTGGTTCAGACTTTCTGAAGTGCTACCGACGACACCTGCGTTTCAATTGAATCACAATTAAACGTCCAACTCTTGGCTCTTGGAATAGTAAGCATGTGAAATTGAAAAAGCCGAATGTTAGGTAAAGATCGAATTGCGTTATGATCGAAGAAATTTTCGGCAAGGCGAAAAATAATAAATCGCTTCATTTGCGGATTTATCATCTTTCTAGTAGCAATTACTAGAAAAGTGTGACGATACAATACATTACGCTCTACGTTTAGTAAAATATATACGAGAGATAGATATTGTTTCTCTGAGGAATTATTATTTCAATTGCAAAATGCTTCGATCATTTCTAGACAATGATCAATTCAAGCACGATTAGATCGTCAGAGTCAATATCCAATAAAATAAAATATTTTTTATTACAATAGTTTCTTCCTAGTTTTTTTCATCGCTCTTCAAACAGTTATATTTCATTTATTACTAAAGCATGTAGAAACTGCGTACATGTAGCTGCGTAACTGCGTAGAACTTCGTATTTATTTTTTCTAGTCTACCAAGTTTATGTTAGATACTGCAAAAGTTTAATATGTTAACAGCTTATGTAATTTGTTTGATCAGCTTGGAAGATTTTTCTGAACTTCGATCTAGACGCTGATTGCCCTGCGGTGTATGAACAGTGATATTTTGAAAATTGACATTGATTATAGCGTATAATAGAATTATGCCATCGCAGCGCTACGTTTGAAGAAATAAAAAAAACAACTATCCATAAACAAACAACTATCCATAAAAATGCGCAGGTGTATATAATACTGGAATTAATTTAAATATGTAATCGCTGATTTAAATGTACCAAACATTAATTTATGAAATAATTAGCATTATAAATGATCCATGTCGAAGTAATTGGATAAAAATTTCCGAGTGATACGTACAATTGATGCGACAGTATTCTCGGAAAAGCGGTGCCTTGAAGTGTTGGTCCAATATAACGACTTTGAACTCGATCCCCGGGAACAATTCCTTGCAACCGGCGGCGTCTGTCGCGAAAGCACCATAAACCCCCGATGATAAAATCCCATGCGGGAAATTGCAGAACAAATACAACTTGCTCGGGTCCAAGTCGGTGGTTTTTATTAATTTTATTGGGAAATAGCTGCAGAAGTACCGTTGCCAGGCACAATTTCTTATCCAGTTCAACAGTTTTCGCCTGGATCGCACAAAATGATTAAACAAAATTCTAAGTTCTGAGTTCGTTAATTCGAGTGATTTACATAAATTATGTCGAGTGGCATTGGCAGAGCATAGAGACTTTGCAAAGAGAAGTCGTAAATCTACATTTGACTTCCAAATATTGTTTTTCTTCTTTTTTTTTTCTTTTTCCTTTTACGTCAAACACTTGATTGGGTAATATTTAATGATGTAAATGAATATTTAATGATGAAATAAAAATTCATTCAATAAAAACATTGAAGTTTCTTTTCATAAGCAAGGTTATATGTTCACTGATTGAAAATTAAAATCTCCCCTTTACAACACGACTCTGAGAATACGTTCTCTAATTAAGTATACATTATTGCTGTACAATCGTATAAATCTTGAATAAAAAAAAAAAAAAAAAAAGAAATCGTATATATTTTGTTATGTAACTCTGATGTTTAAAATTGAAAAAAAAGTCGTAGATCCTACATGAACGATGTAAATTTAATTAAAGAAAACAATAAGAATTTTAAAGAATTTTCAAAGCTATAATACTTTGATTGAAAATATCGAGACTGCGATATATTTAGTATAATAATATCTTAATTATTACCATAAAATTAAAAAGCTGCTTTTGTAGTTTAACATGAAATAATATCCAACATCGATATTTGTATTTAGAATTTAATAAAATTTAATAAGAATCGAGCATCACTGTCAAAACAGTTACAATGTGTAAATTTCGCGTAAGTCTGTGTTGAGTACAAAGAAAGTTACATTTCCGTATCGAGTTTGTTTACCTGTATCAATTAATCGTGCAGAAATTATCGATTCGTTTATCGGACGATAGAGTCTCGATATAAATCGCTGACTTTGCGATTAATTCTGTCGCAAACGTAAACTCACCGTTTATACCCCATATCGGTCTTGTTCCAATCGTAATACATCCAGACGAAGTAAAGTAATATAAAGTAACGCATGGTCTCCGTGAAGAAAAGAAAATACGCGGTGAGAATGTATCCGCAGAAGTTTCCAAAGGCGAAGAGTACGATACATACTGCGGCTGAGAGCGTTTCCAATCTTCGCTTTAACGGAACGTTCAAAGGTGCGAACTTCACTCCGAAAATTTCCATTTTTTTTCTCTCTCTCTCTCTCTCTCTCTCTCTCTCTTTTCCACTTCGATATTTTCCCTTTCACAGCTACGACGATATTGATATAGTGGTTCCTCTTTCGTCTAATTAATACTGAAACACGTCGTACATAAAATGAAATTAAGAAAATGAAACGACGTACGACAAAGAAACATGGAAAAAATTAGTATATAATGTGAATAGTAATTTTGAGACGTGTGTGGAATACGCAACCTTTAAATACGATCTGCCTGAATATTGAAGCTTATTAAATATAGATGATGGTAGTGGGAACCACTTGAATGTAATTTTATTCATTAATTATAAAATAAACGTAAGTTGGCAAAAGGCGTAATAATAATGATATTTGTAAGTGTGTTCTTCTTTCCAATCATGATGTATTGAAGTAACTTTAAAGAAGCTAATATAAAATAAAGGAAAAATATAAAGTTACAAAATAAATCTGATGCTGTAATAAATCTGGTATTTACATAATTACACGTAAAATACACACACGTTTAAAACTAGTACTAGCAGCAGTAGAAAATGTGACTTTGCAGTAATATTAATTATTCATAAACGTTTCTCGATTGTTAGTCATTAAATTTTTATTTATACACTGTGGCACTTAGAAATATTAGTTCTTGTATTTTTCTAATAATTTTTTCTTGACTTTTGACATTGTTTGGAGACACGTAAAGAATAATTTTTTTTTAAAGCGGTTATTTATGTATTTCCACTGCTATTTTTCGCGCTATCAAATTATGCACCAAATGAAACACGAAATGAGAAATTGGAAATATTGAAAAGTGAATAATGATTAATGATTTCAAAAAAATTCCAATTATAAATAATCGTACAATAATAAAGTGAAAATAATTTTATACTTCTTCACCACTAATGTCGCAATTAGTTAAGATCTTTGAAATAATATCGGTTAGAGATTTATTTCAAAGAAACCTCTATGTTCCCAAGCATTGAAATATAATTATTTACTGATTTATTTACTGATAAAGGTTCAAATATCTGTGTGTTTAGTGAATTTGATATATCGTTCACTTTCATGTTCTTATCATAATTTCGAGGGAAAAAACAAAGATTCTGTCACTCTTCAACTGATACGAGTTGTAGTTTCTACTGTGCAATAACAGATTACGTTTTCATTATATTTCCTACATTTACGAAAGTTCTAAAACATCAACAATAAATAGTGAACAAACGCATTATTGAACGCATTATTGATAACAATAACCTTCAAAACGAATTAGTTTCAGCTCTCTATTAGTTTCCTTTAATTCTGAAATTATGTACGTACGTATCTATGTTCATAAATATTTTTTTGAACAACTGTTATCTCTGTGCAAAGAAATTTCTAAAGGTTAATGAAAAATAATCCTGCTGTCCACTTGGATCTTTTGTTTTCGTTTCAAACAATGGAGAGTCCCTAATGTTTTAAGGAAATCTTTATTAATCGAGACAGTAATCTTCTGTATAACAAAGTATCTTCCGTGTAAGAAAGCATCTTCTTCGTCTACATCAATGTATAACTTGTTAAATAATTTTACGTTGTAAATAATATGCAATTTCCTGCCCAAAATTTGATGATCCATCAGAGTGATTCGTATGAATATAATATCGATGATAATCGATATCGTCTTTAAATTTTCAACATGAGAATTTAAACAACTTTTTCTACACCATCGTTACTGCACGACCTCGTGCTAAATTCCATGCGATCCAGCGAAATGATTTACAGTAATTCTTCGATACATCGAAGCTTGAAAATGGAATTTTCAAACCGCTATCATTCTGCGCCAAATTCGACGCAAATCCACGTGCTCGTCTTCAAACACTCCAAGAATAGAAAAGATTAGAACTCGTCGGACACAATGTACGTGACGATTACGCAATTCTTCGACGGAGAAACGTGTCTGGCAGGTCATTGACCTTCAGATTATTTCTTTCCAGCAACGCTTTGTCTCTTCGTCAAGTTTTACATTCGAAATCATTTCGTTGCTGTTCCAAAGAGCAAAGTCAGCAATATGCACCAGTCATCTCCATTCGATTTGTATTTCGATTTCGCTCGTGCGAATAAAGTGGCCGCATTATTTATAAAGGCTATACGATAAAGGAAATGCATCGTCAATTAATCAAGGATACTTTTCGTATCGTTTAGACGTATGCTCGTATTAAATCGCAATACTTCGATTTGTTTGAAGTCAGATTTGGCGTAGAAATTAATCCCGGTGAAACTTCAAAGTGTCTGCAAACGCACTGGTAATGGCAATTGAAGAAAAACGTGAAGAGATAAAGAGACAGGCGCTGTCGACAGTAATTAAATTTGTTAAGTGATTTGTAAATCTTAAGACTTGTAAGAGACTTTGCTGAGGCAAACTTCTTGGTAATAAGTATTTAAAAGTATAAAGACGTGTTTCGAATATTTAATAATGTCGCCTTGATGTTTCTTGTTTCTTCCGTTTTTTTACTTCGTGTTCTCGAGCTTCTCTTTCAGAACAGAAACTTTGCCACAAAAAAGAAAAAGAAAAAAAAAAGAAGAAAAAAACAAGGAAAGAAAAGAATGATTTAAGTAAATGTTACAATTCGTTTTATATATATATATATGTATCTTCAAAAATACGAAATCGCATAAAAATCCACAGTCTGGTTATAAATGATTTACAAAAGTGAATCACTTGAAGCCACGCGCGAATGAGAAAAAATATATAAAATGCGCCACAAGAAGTCTCTCCACGAGACAGGAAATTATTCATTTTTTATCGCTAATTCTTTTTTTTTTTAGCGAACACAATACGATAAATACATCACGTAGATAAACTTTAAAATCATAAAAACAGAAATAATTTTTATCGTCGTCGTTTAAAAGTCAAGTGTGAACATTTTTTTTTTTTTTTGTGCAATAGCATCACATACAAAATCATATTAAATATTTTTCAATACGATTTACATACATAAATCCAATTTCGAAATTATACGATACAGTGACGTATATAAAAAAAGTGTTTTGCATTTTACTATTGTATGCTAAATTTCGTATCTTTTAGTTTTGATACTTAAATATAATGATACGTTAATATCATCATTTTATCACGTCAAAGATAAATAATTTATCTAACTGAGATTAAGGAACTAATCCAGATAAACGAGTTCAAGATTGTTACTGGAATTGTTTTTGAATTTCCTTGCTATTAAAAAACGATCCAATAATTTGTCAATGTTTTCTTCGTTATCATCACGATTGTAACAACAATTTCATTTTTAACTACTGTGAACTAACATTTTTGTATTATTCCATTGTTTAGAAATTTCTATAATTTTTAACGGCTTCTACAAATTCCAAGTTAATAGAAATAACAATGGAATTATAAATACTAGAATTAATTTCTAAAATTGATTTCAAATGTTGACCTGTATCCTTTTAAGCTTAATTGGCTTCAATCAAATTTATACAAATTTGTCACTTCTTCCTGAGATTTCTTTATAATAATCTAGATCTTTGATTCAGATGATCAATTGCAATTCCTACTTAAGACAACAATACATAATACTTCTTGTCTAAAATTAAACGGAGCACAACACGATCTCTTTGATGCAATATTTTCATAAGCGTATCGTTCATTTCTTGAAGCAAGTACCTCGTTCGCGTGCCTGTTGCAAAATTAAAATGCAACTTGATTCTTACACACAGCCATCCATATCAAGAATCAGTAATGAAACGAACGTTCTCTTATTAAAACTTGATTATTTACAAGTTGCCAAAAGGAAATGCTAACGATAACGAAAGTTTAGGCTCTTAGGTATGACTGAAATTGAAAAGTGCATTGAATTTAATAAAGAGCTTCCAGAACATTGAGGAAAAAGATCAATTAATACACCGGGTCAGTCAGTCTGATTGTGAGACTAGAAGAAAAGTTGAAATATTTTCGGAATGATTAATTGTATAAAAAAATGTCCTCGAGTTTTCCAACGAGTGAAATTTTACGAAATTTTCTCGTGCAATGAATTCCTTGTTGCTCATCCATTCTTCGTACCTATCCACACGTCAATGAGGAAGTAATCAGAGTCATTAACAAACGACCACATGAAATCTCGAACAAATGACACGATCTAGCCTCATGTAGCAAGCTCACGCGGAATTTTTCTGCTCTTTATGAAGAGAAAAGTGCAAAACTAATGAAGAAGCACTCACTGTTTGTTTTAAACTTTTTCACTAACGATAATAAGAACGCCACCATTATTTTTCAATAAGTATGTATTATATATTATACATATATTCTCGCTTTTGGAGCAATTTTGGAGCATTTTATGCATTTCGTTTCTCTGACAAACAAGAATATTATAATTATGTCATTTATTTTAAAATATTTATTAGATCTATAGATTTATTTCAGTTTTAGAGCTGCGAAAATTCAATTCTTCATAGTTTGAAAGAATTCAGAAAAATAAAGGGAAAAGATGAACATTTTTAGTAGTAGTATCGCGTTTCAGATTTTCTTCGAATAACTAACATTCTGACATTATCGGCACTCACTAACGTAAGAACGATATGTACAAACATTGGAAATCATCGATTAAAGTCAACACCTTATTGCTTACCATCGCTCACAAATCAAATAATTCATATACGGATACTAGAAATATCCAAAGTTTACGAGCTATTTTTTATAGAATAAAAATAAGAAACGTGACATTCATAAAAATAAAAATACGTAATAATTTGTAAGATCTCACAATAAATTTCATTTCATCATAAATTTGCACGTTTAAGAATTATACAGATGACTTTATTAAAGTTGAAGGTGTCACTCGTTAAATGTTTTAAACATTATTATTATTATTTCTCTGTTGAAATTAAACACGATTCGCAATTTTTTTTTTCAAATCAAAAATTCTTCTCGTGTTAAGATTAAAAAAGAAAAATATTAAATTTTCAATATCTGGAGATACAGATTTTCTCAAATGAAGTATCCTCCTCCAAATCCTCA